GGTCTTTGTCTGCAATGATTAGACATGTTTTTTATTATTGTCATTAGTGATTATCTCAATTTTGGCTAAAAGAATTCAACAAATCCTACACACTGTGCCTTTAAATCTACAATAAAAACAAACCAAAAAAATAAATAAAAATTTCTACAAAAATAAAATCTAAAACAAATGAACAACACAACTACCTACACAGTGTCAAAAGCCAAACACACATCATTAGCTTGCAAAAAAATAATAATACAAACAAAAAAATGTAGGCTACCACACTGACTGTTAGCTTAATCATAAAAAATAAAACAACTTTACTTAAAAAGTATTTGCATTTCATGTATTATATTATTGCATTTGGCCGCAGCCCTCTGATTTATTTTCATTTTGGCCGTCTCAGGGAAATGTTTGGGCACACCTGGTCTAGAGGAAATACAGATGTAAATTAGCCTAGGGCTAATTCTGGTGCGATGCATTAAATGTTTTTTTACATTTACGTTTTAATTGCATACTGGCCTGATTAAATAAAAAAGTAATTTTTTTACAGATTTAAATATTAGAGTTTTACCTGAATTAACTTCAACAGTTTGAAGTATTTTGTGTGGATTCATTATTTTTATTTGTCACCGGAGGTGTGAATACTTTTACAATCAGCTGTATCTTGGTATCTTCTCAGGAATTCAATTCAAAAAGACTTTATTGATCCCAGAGGGACATTAGGTGAGAAGGGGCAGATGGGAGCCTGGTAAAGTTTTTGTAGGTGTTGAAAGTATAATACAGTACATCAGGATTTGTCCGGTTCTGTTGAAAGCCAAACAGATGATACATCTTGGTACTTATTATTTGTCTCAGAGGGCCTCTGCATTATTCATGGAGCAGCTTGTTTTGTTGTTATTCTAAGGTTACACTGAGCCTGAGGTGTGTACACAGAAGCAGGCTCCTCAGTATACCTCGCTGAATATTTGTACTCGGTGATTATGGAAATCGTGCAGTCGTTCTGGGTGTTTCTCTCTCTCAAATATATATTTACCTGTGTGTGTGTGTTTCAGTACTTATGTAGGGACGTGTCGGTGCGGGTCACACGGTTCATCAGGTTTTTGTCCCTGTGCTGCTTTCAGAGTCCACACTGCAGAGTACTACATGCAGGAGGCGAAGAGGCTGAAGCACAAGGCCGACGCGTTGGTAAGAAGAATCAATCACAGAAACACGCACCTCTGTGTGCAGCCTCCCACAGAACAGCAGACTTAAACCGACTCAGCAAAAACTGAAAACACACCAGAGTCTAGACCATAATTAGATGCAGTCTCTGTAGGATGCAAATCTATTCCGTATCAAGGACTCCACCGTATAATTTGTGTTATTTATTACACCATTTGTCTCCGAGGGTGCATCGCGTTCAAGGAGTGATGATGTCTGCAAGATTAAACCATATCAGAAGAATTATCAGATCCTCCCAGAACAACAGAACGAGATTTATTCAGCTGGTTATTTATCTCATGTTTACTCATTGTTTCCCCTGATTTACTGAGGGATTTGCATCTTACAGGCAGATTATTCAAAGGGAGGGCTTATTTATCTCTCTGTCTCTGTCTCTGTCTCCTCCTCACCCGGCCGATGCAGATGGACAAGTTTGGGAAAGCGGTGAATTACGCAGACGGCGCCCTCTCCTTCATAGAGTGTGGAAACGCGATGGAGCGAGATCCGCTGGAGGCCAAATCACCGTACACCATGTACTCTGAGACCGTGGAGCTGATCAGGTACATCCTGCAGACAGAAACCCCTTTTCAGTTTGAAGAATGGCCATAAAATTCAACATTCATTAAACAGAACTTTGCTAAACGTCATGATGTGTGTCATTTACCTGCTCTATGCTAACAAGACCTTTTTTTACAATATTCTTTTGTTCGTTTGAATTAGCAGAAACCTAAATACTTTTCTGAAGTAGAAACTGTCGCTGGGATCGTCAACTTAATGGAAGAAGCCATATTTTTTGTTGACACTACCAGAGGGTAACATAGTGCTGCGCTTTAAAGGACCAATGTTATGTGTTTCTCAGGCAAATACACTCCTGATCAAAATCTTAAGACCAGTCAAAAAAGTGCAAGAATTTGCATTTTGCACTGTTGGATCTTAAGAAGGTTCTAAGTAGAGCTTCACAATGTTAAAAGAAGAAATCAGTGCAAGAGACAAGAACTTTTGAGCAGGGAATTGTCTGAAAACTGCATTTACACTCAAACATGATTTTTTCAGCTGATCAAAAGTTTAAGACCATAGCTCAAACAAACCTGAAAACCCCCCAAAACAGAAATCAAAGTGTCAAAAAAAGGACTCAGTAATGAGAAGCTCCACCATTCTTGTTGATGACTTCAGACAATCGTTTAGGCATGCTTGATGTCAGTGTTTCCAGGAGGCTAGTGGGAACGTTGCTCCAAGTGTTGAAGATGGCTTCACGAAGGCCATCCACTGTCTGGAACTGATGTCCATTTTTGTAAACTTCCCTTGACATCCATCCCCAAATGTTCTCAGTTGGGTTTAGATCCGGGGAACATGCAGGATGGTCCAAAAGAGTGATGTTATTCTCTTGGAAGAACTCCTTTGTCAGGCRGGCATTGTGAACTGCAGCATTGTCCTGTTGAAAAACCCAATCATTACCACACAGACGAGGGTCCTCAGTCATGAGGGATGCCCGCTGCAACATCTCCACATAGCCAGCTGCTGTTTGACGCCCCTGCACAACATGAAGCTCCATTGTTCCATTGAAGGAAAACACACCCCAAATCATGATGGCGCCCCCACCACTGTGCCGTGTAGAAAACATCTCAGGTGGGATCTCCTTGTCACGCCAGTAGCGTTGGAAGCCATCAGGACCATCAAGGTTAAATTTTTTCTCATCAGAGAAGACAACTTTCTTCCACCTTTCAATGTCCCATGTTTGGTGCACCCTTGCAAAGTCCAAACGGGCAATTTTGTGGCGTTGAAGAAGACGTGGCCTTTGAAGAGGTTTTTTGTTTCTGAAGCCCTTCTCTCACAGATGGTCTGATGGTTATTGGGCTGCAGTCAGCACCAGTAATGGCCTTAATTTGGGTAGAGGATCACGTGTCTTGATGGACAGCCAGTCGGATCCTGGTGCTTTCTCCAACATCCTTAAAACCGTTTGAAATGTTTAAAAATGTTTATAAATCTTTACTTTACTTTTCACATTTTCTTATGGTTCAGTCTTTTTAACTGCTTTGTGCTAATTTTAGATGTTGTCAGCATTTTCAGCTCCTTTGAACTTCTTTTGTGTGCTTCTTTTTACTTCTTACTGTTAATTTAAGGATTTTATGATCCTTTCAGCTTCATTCTGCTGTTTTCATTTTTATGATAAATTGAGTTTTAGTCATTTAAATTCACATTTTGGTGGTCATTTCAGCTTTTTTTCAGTAAATGTGCTCTTTCAGTGTCTTTCTGCTAATTCCAGCAAATTTTCAGCTATTTTCAGGTAATTTGAGCTTTTTTCAGCTAAATTACTTCTTATATTCACCATATTTCAATGATGACCCAAATGAATTTTAAGATCACAGGTTCTGCTTGTTTGACTTTCTTTCATCTAAATTTCATCTCTGCTCTTTTTATATATATATATATATTTGAAATTTTCTTTTTTTTACTTCTTTCTGGTAGTTTCACCTTTTTTTACCTTTTAAGCTACTTATGTTTACAATTTTCTGCAAATTTTAGCTATATTTCTACTTTATTCAGCGTCAGACACATTTGTACTATTTTACTACAGATGTTTGTACTTTTGTTTTTCTACTTTCAGCAGAACTCAGCTGTTCAAACTGAGCTGATGTCAACAGTTTTTGCTGTTAAATTGTAATAAATGAATGTTGATTTGAGCAGCTGAAGCTTGAGTTTTCAGCCTGGCTCACCTACAAGCTGTAAATCGGTGGTTCAGCCGGCGCTGCGGCGCAGGGTGGATCTCAGGGTTTGATCCTCTGAGAGCTGCGGGCGTGAAACCACTGAGAGCAACTCAAAGAGAGCAAAGTGAGAACAACAAACGAGCGCTACATCTGAGCCTCGCCAACAGCGGGGCGCTGAGAGTGGGACACGCTCGTTTGGCTCAAGTGTTCAAGATATGCTCGTCTGAAGTGTCCTTGAGCAAGACTCTGAACCGGAATCGACAGCTGATTGGCGGTTTGACCTCTGACCTCAGGAATAAAAATGCTCTCTGCTCTAGAAGGACAGTTCACTGGATCATGTCAGGCAGCTGAACCCCGTGTTATTTTTAAAATAAATAAATAAGCAGGAGAACATTTCACACTGACCTGAAGCTCGTTTCACCTGCGGCCACTTTCAGCTCTCCTCTCACGAAAAACCTCAATAAATGAACCTTGGCTGTTTTATTTATGACACAAATACTGTTACATTAGTGATTGTCACTCAGATAAAGCTGGAATTATCAGTAATATTGATGTGTGATTGACAGGTACGCCATGAGGTTGAAGAACTTCAGCAGCCATTCGGCCACCATGTTTGAGAAGAGACTGGCCGTGTTGTGGTACGACTCTTCATCCTGTCTGTCTGGTCTTAATGTGAACAAAATTTGCTTTGTAAGAAAATTTAGTGTTCGTTAAAGGCACAGTGTGTAGCAAGGGTGGAGTGGGGAAACTTTTCAGCCCGGGAGTTTAATGGCCAAGACCGGCCCAATTTTTGTACAAATAAAAAAATTAGACAAAGATGTAGCACCAGCATGTAATATTTTTGTATTTTGTATTCACTGATCAAAACCTGCTTCTTCACATTCATCAACAACAAAGTAAATTGCTGTGGTGCAATAATGTGTACTCAGTCACAGATATGATGTTCACCTCTATTATACTGTAGCAGCTCTTTAAACTCAGGAGTTCAGTTTAACAATCAACTAGTTTCACAGAACACAGTTCAGTTCTGTAGTACACAGGTGGTGCACTACAGGTGTGTTGGTTTATTCTCTCTAATGTTAAACAATGAGCATCAGAAACATTGTAATGTGTGTGAGGGGGCATTAGTGGGGGGCTCTGGGGGTCCTCCACCAGAAAATTTTGAAACTATTAGAAGCAGTTTCCTGCATTCTGTTGTATTTTACAGGTTCCTAAACATACTTTTACCTACATAAAAAAAACACTTGATCAAATAACTAAATTAGAGACAGATTCTAGTTGAATCATCCTGTTTTTAAACTCA